GTAATTGTTAGTGAAAGATTTTCTTGCCTTCTAGTGAGAGTATACCGTTTCAACATAGATTTCATGTTTTATGAACTTGTTGTTTGTCTTCGGTTATGACGGAATATTTTTAAAATAATTTCTTAAGTTCTATCTATTATAAAAATACTTAAACCAAAATAAGAAGAAATTCTAGAGCAGAAAAAATAATATTGCAAAAAAAAGAGAAAAGTATTTCTTTTGGATCTTCCTGTAGTTATGCTTAAGTAAGAATGATGTTCGTCACTGATATATAGCATTTAATCACTTAAAATATTTTTTAATCTCAAATATGTATTTAGTGATGAGTCGTGATCTTGATTCAGCATTAACAAAACGCGAACGTGAAGCTGTTGATGTATGGCTTGCTTCGAATAAATCATTTCATGCTATGCGTGATCATCCTATGCATAGCGTACCTATGCTTGGTGGTATGTGGGGTTTTCGACCATCATTGAATCGAAACTTATCTCGTTTAATACACGATAAAATTCATAATCAAGATTTAATTAGAAATTATACTGGTCGTGCTGATCAAGGATTTCTTGCTGCTCATATTTGGCCATTTGCAAAAGCAAGTGCCATTGCACATGATAGCTTTTCTTGTGCACATGGATTTGGACATCCAGCACAGCCATTTCCAACACAACGACCATTAGCTAATGAAACAAATTGTTTTGTAGGTTGTGTGCGATCATGTTGTGGTCATGGAATAATGCCATTTGGCCAATGTCCAATACAATGTCGACCAAACGATCATCCAGAATGGATTTATTGTTAGGTTTTTTCTAAGTTTATTTATTTTTTTTATTCTTATACATAAGAAATATTTACATGGCTTTCACGAAAGAATATGTTTAACCGTTGAATCGGTTTTGACTTGAAACTATTGTTATTTGATTGTGGATGATCAGTACTGAAAAGTCTATTTTGTTTTAAGCATAGAATCGTTACGCACTTGTAAGATCAAATTTTGAGCTGAAATCTTATTTATAAATAGGCCTTACAATCATTAGAAACATCCCAAACTTTTAACTAGAACGAGCTTATTCTTGATAAGGTATTGAAATTGTAAAGAAACGTTTGTTTTGGACTGTATTTTAAAAGAAGAACATTTCTATAATAAGCTAATGTCTCTAAATAGATATCTTTATCCTATCTCAAACATTGGAGTATTTCTAATAACTGTGAAACATATGTATGGACAAAATTTCAGTTCGGAATTAGTTCACCTAAATTCGCAAGGATTCTATGTTTATGCCGCTAAACTGGAGTAAAACGTCTTTAGTTCAACAAGAAAAAAAAATGGAAATTCAAACCCAACCAGACTTTTCACTATTGATCATGACTGATCAAGTGGCACTAGTCTCAAGCAAAAATCAGTAGAACAGTTGAGCACATTTTCGCCTTACTTGTTTTTCTCAGTGCGCCTTTTGATAAAGTATAGTGTCCATTTTATACATATTACTTGTCATGTTTTAAAAATGCAGTAAAATATTTCCATGTACATCAACAACATATACAACGTTTGCTCTTATTACTTAGTGTACATTCTATGAACAAAATAATAGTAAGTAAAATCATAAGTAACAGATAAATGTTATATGGAAAAAAATGCTCGATTAAATCATATTGAATTAAACCTTATCAGACACACAGAATCTATATCTATCATAAGTTTCTTTTAAGGAATCGAGCAAAACCTAATTCTTATCTTCTAAATCGGTGTTAGTCGAGATGACATCAAAGGTTATATAAGTTTGTCTATAACATCACCAGAACAACATTAGAATAGATCAAATGCTTTCAAAAAATATGAGACAATACATATTATACAATATACAATTGATAGATATCAGCTTGTACGCGTAACGCGTCACCTCAATGACTGAGAGTTCGAAATCAATATCTTACGAAATCATTATTGCCATATTATAGAGCATGGTCTAAAGTGTAGAGAAACTTATTTCGTTCCGTGAATAAATGCTTTAAATTGCATTTGATAATTGGTAACAGAGAGCCCACTAATAGACAGAAAAAGTTCCTCTATTTAGAGCATGAGTTCACCCATCTCGTATATCGAAACAGTCTGGTATATACAAAGTTGATTAAGACTAATTAAGACTATGATAATAGATGTATCTTTCCTCATAACAGTGGGCTTTCTATGTGCTATACTTTTTTGCAGCAAGCTTCAGTAAAACCACCCTATTTATAACGTCATCGCGTAACGAAAAATGAGTATTGTTTTTTCAACTGTTATTCTCAACTTCTTTTTTTACAAAAAATATAAATCTAAAGCTAGTTTTTCATGAGCTATCTGATGCGCATATTTTTATTCCAAAAAGATTGTGTTTTACAATTATGTTACGTAACGCAATGACGCTTTTTACTGTTTTCTACGTTTTTCATGTATGTCAAAGGACGTTTTCAGACGGTGATTTATTATTCAAAAATCACCGTAAGCTATGACTAATGTATCTTTTTATTGATTACTAACAAATTTCCATAAGAATATAGGCGATTGGTCTAACAAGTTGATTGCGTTCAATTAAAATTATATTACCAATCTAAATCCTCTATCGTTTCTATGATATATACGTAAGATCGAAAAAACTCAAAATTTCAGTTAACATTTTTTCTCGATGATTTATATATGGTTAGATAGAGCTCAAAAAACTATGTAAGAAAATGTACTTTTAAATTTTTTCCATCTCTTAAATACATTAAAAAAGTCAAAATACTGAGATCATTGTGTTACTGAGTCCATTCCGTATAGAATGATCTCAGTATTTTGACTTTTTTAATGTATTTCAGAGATGGAAAAATTTAAAAATACATTTTCTTACATAGTTTTTTGAGCTCTATCTTGCCATATATAAATCATCGAGAAAAAATGTTAACTGAAATTTTGAGTTTTTTCGACCTTACACAGACATTCCTATACATATTAGTCAGACTAGTTTATTTTTTTTACGATTTTTTTTATATCAGAAAAATCAATAAGCACAACATTTAATATTTGTATACTCTAAGCGGTAGAATAAAAATAATATCTTGTCTTCACAGAGGTGTACATATAACAAAATGAAGCATAGAAAAAAAATGATTACAAAAGTCATCGTCATCGCGTTACGAGGCCGTCATCGCGTTACGAGACCGTCATCGCATTACGAGGCCGTCATCACGTTACGAGGCCGTCATCGCGTAACGTCAATCAAATCAATTTCTATTTAAAATAAGAAGCGTGTTCGAAAAATTTCTTTCTCCTTTGGACACCTCAAACTGTTGACTACAAAATGTCCATAGAACGTTTCTTTCAATATAGCATATATTCGCAGAGAAATAAAGAACAATCAAGTCACCCTCAAGGTTTTGTCCTTTTTTTATCATCGCGTTACGCCATGTATTTTTACTATAATTTTCAAACGGCTGGTTCAAACAAGCTCATATTTTTAGGGATTTTGCAGAAGGCAGAGATACATCTTACAACGAAAGAACAAACCTTTTGGCAATCTGATTGCTGAGAAAAGTTAATAAAACTGTGGCCAAAACGTCATCGCGTTACGCTCGTACAAGCTGATATACTATTGCACATATTGTACTTCTGTCTAAAGTAGCATCCTTCTTTTGTTTGCGCACAATTATAGAACTGTTCTAATGCTTCAGTTTGTTATTTTTTTATGGCATTTAGATCGGTCAGAACTTGTGCAATTGTTTCTATGTATTTGTTGCGATATGTCACGATAAAAAGCAGTCTAATAGTAGAAAATCCGGTGATCACGAGGTTTATGATTTCTGACGCATTTCTATGAGTTTTTTCTTACGGCTATATCTGATTGGATAATCACTTTGATCAGTTATTTATGACGTCGTTGCGAAAATCTGTTTCTTTTTTAAACTTCAAATAATATCAAACAAAATTTTTTTTTTGATTATGTTTTTCGTCAAAAGAAAAAACAATCTTTGATAACGATAAATTCACCTGTAGACATGAACATAATTCGATAAAACTGGTTTAAACCAAATGGATTAACATTCTAATTAACCAAAGTTTATAAAATATTTTCTGTAATCAATTAGAATCAAAGTATAAAATTTTGATTTCTCTACGTAACAATTAATTCATTTTATTGGAAAACTTTTGAGAATACTTTCTGTTTATCTGGAGATTCATTTCAATACGAATAAAGTCCTATTTCGTATATGAAATAAATCTTTTAATCTTACAAAATCGATATTTCTACATTAATAAATCTAACTTCAGTGTACAAATATTTCTCTAGTCATGATTTGATTAATAGTCATAGTAAAAGAAAAAAAGTAAACAAGTAAAGAAAACATCGTAAAATGAAAGAACCAAACGGATAAAAACACTTACTATTTTAAATATTTTTCAAGAGTTTTGCTCCAAGCGACGTTTCAAGTTAAAACAACGATAAGACAATCAAACATAAGAACATCATTAACCAGACGCACATACAAATTGATTGTATAGTTGTATAATGAAAATATCTTCATTGATACCAAGGCATGGTCGTTTTATTTCTTCAGTATGTGCTGGTTTTTTGAAAAGTTTTATTTTTTACAAAACGTTACGCTTTTCTTGTTACATTCCAGTTATTACTAAAACTGTAAATATCGATGATCGTCGACGACCAGAATGTACGTGTTTAAGACCTGAATTACCACATTTGCCTTCTCATTTGATAACAAATGAATAACATACAGCCTTTTATAGTCGTTATAGTTCACAACGAGGATCTCATCAACATATTATTTCAATTAGTCTGTTTGGACCAAAAGAAGCTAAAAAGTTTTAAATCCATCGAACACTATGTGATCTCAAACTTCTTATTACTGATGTTGATATAACGTATTCTGATCGATTTATATTACGTATTTATCATGATAATACAATAAATGCAACAGATACTATTTGTTCAATTAAATGTGAGCATTCAAATGTTGATTTTTGTAATATGGAACATAAAATATTTATACCACCAAAAATCTGGCGTTTTATAGCAGCTGATGATCCATTAGTTGATATTAGTAAGTATAACATAATCAAAAAAATTTTTCAATTTATAAATACACGAAATTGTTTATTCATTTAGTATTAAGTCGTGATCTTGATTCAGCGTTAACAAAACGAGAGCATGAAGTTGTTGATACATGGCTCGCTAGGAATAAATCATTTCATGCTATACGTGAACACCCTAAACGTAATTTTCGTATGCTCGGTGGTATGTGAGGTTTTCGGCCATCATTAAATCGAAGTTAATCTCGTTTCATACTCGATAAAATTTATAATCAAGATTTAATTACACATTGTACTGGTCGTGCTTATCAAATCTTTCTTACTTCTCATAGTTGGGCATTTACAACATCAAGTCTGCTTGTTCATGATAGTTTCTTTTGTATGAATGATTTTTGACATAAATCAGAACTATTTCCAATGCAACGACCATAAGCTAATGGAACGTATTGTTTTGTGGGTTGCGTACGAACATGCCATGGTCGTGGAAAACTATCATTTGGCGAATGTTCTGAAGAATGTCGACCGAAAAATCATCCAGAATGGATGTATTGTTAAGTTTTTTGTATACACAAAAAGATAAATTTTTAGAATAATAAATTTTGATAATTTTGACATTTAAATATCTGCATCCATCTATTGTAACCTTAAAGATGTCGCATTTAATATTTAATATAGAAACTAAATGTTGTCAAGGAAAGTTTAATATTAATGGTTATTCGACATGTAATCTCAACATAATTATCAAATATTTCAGATAATTAGCTAAAAGTATTAGCCCGTAAAATAATGACAACACGTACTGGTTCTAAACAAGGACGCCAAGCAGCTAAATCAAATTTAAAAGCACTTGGAAAAGATCAAGGAAAAAGTGAAAAACAACCAACAAATGTATTAGAAATTGTTCCAGGAAAATTTAATGAAACCGATTGGTTATCATTATTAGAAAATGATGATACTGAAGATTTTATTGCTGATATATTTGAAAACATATGGACAGAAACGTCGAAACAAATTCAACAAATATATATTCGAAAACAACTATTACCATTTACATTAATGATGACAGAAAATGCTTTATCTAATGTTATTCAGGTTAAGAGAAAAAAATATTTTCAAAAAGAATTTTTTTTCTTATTGGTTTCTTCCTTTCATCTTTATTTAGTGGGCATTTCTAGAAAGAGATGAACCGATACCGGCTTCTGGTAACTTTTGGACAGAAGATTCAGGTACATGAAAAACAAGGGATCAGTTTTTAAAATATTTTGTTAGTTTTTCTAGAACCTATACCATGTACAATGGATAGTTGGGGTGAAGGTGTTGTACCTGCATGTCGAGAAGAACGTCCTCAAAGGTTTATATTATTTCTTTACTCAATTTTCTTATTTGTATCAGTAACTTTTCTATTGTTCAGTGTTGAAGAATCACCTGTATCAATTGATGAACGTCCATCAACAGCTCCTCTCAATATTCCAACATCTGAAAATATTAACCGAATTTCACGTCCTTCGACAGGATCATCAATAACTAGTACAATGCATACAACTCGTTCGAATACTCAAGGAAAAAGACTTGCAAAACTCGATAAATCTAATGATATTCATCAGCAAATTAAACGGCAACAATTACTTGAAACTACAAGTGACAATCGTACATCAAGTGAAAAAGAATTTTTAAATGAACAAAATATTAGTCGAACATCTTTTTCACAAAAACCTTATTATCATGATGTACTTGTTATTCATACACAACCACCAAAAGTAAACAATTATAAGAATTCGAAAAAGCTTCATATTGTCTAATTGTTTTTTTTTATTGTTTGAAAGCTTGAGCCATTATCTGATCTATTCTATCCATCACAACGGGATACCAATAGTTCATATTTTGATTCTAGCCCAGCAGTAGTAACTAAAAAACCTCGACATATAATTGCACCAAAAGCATCGTCTCAACTTGGTTCTGATGCATTAGCATCAATAACAAATGTAAGTGCTACAACAACTACAAAAAGTTTTAAAAAACCAACTGAATCAAAAGTATTTGATGACCAAGAAGTTGAAGAAGCTATTTCAAAAGCTCCTATGGCGACACATTCAATGCTTAAAGTATAATATTAAATATAGAATATGTTCACTAGTCTATTTTTTATAATATAGAGTATTCTCAGTCGACCACCTGGATATCGAGAACTTGAACTTGATGATGATGGTAATGTTATTGCGATTGCTAAACTTGATCCAGATAAAATTGCATCGAGAAGGTTTGATGAATTGAAATGATATGATTTTATTATTTTTTATATAATTAAATAGTATTCGTGTTAAATGCGATATAATTAAATCACGAAAATCTACAATTGAAACTCGTCCACCACCAGCTAAACAATCAAAACAAATAAAATCTAATCGACCTGAGAAAAAATTTACATCGGTTAAACTTGGTTTGTGTATTTTATTTTTTGATTGATTGTATTAAATCAATAGTTTGATTCGTTGTTTTTTGTTGTATGTAGTACTTCCAGAACAATCAACTGATGTTGGTGATCTTATTCAACCAGTTCCTGGTGTTCTTTATGAAGATGCTCGAATGAAAAAAGGTGATCCTCGAAGATATCAAGTAAATTCTTCATGATTCTTGCCAGTTATTTTTATCTTGTTGATGTATTTATTTTTTAATAGACTGGCATGTCAAAATATACGAATTTCTATGATGAAAGCCGTCCATTGAGACCTATTGTTCAACGAGGCGATTTAACTATACTAAAAGTAGCAAATGATTTATTAAATCAATCAAAAGATGATGATAATGATGATGAGCTACAAATTCCACAATTACACAGACTTGCTCGAATACCACCTATTATGTCTGGATCAAGTACAACATCAGCATAATAACCTTTTTTTCTTAGCCTTATTAAAACCGAAACTTTCTAATCAATTTTGTTTCAATTAAATAAATCAGGCTCCATTTTATTATTTTCTACAAACGATGAAAAGAATGGCGAAAATCTTTTTTTCCACTGTATTGCTCATTTGTACAATATTTCCAAATTTTCCAGTTGGTGGTAACAAATAGAACATAAACGTCATTACAACAAAAAATGATTAGTATCATTTCCTTCACAGCATGTATATGTTAGCTCTTTCTTTCTTTCTTTCTTGTTACTTTCTATTCTTCAGAATTACTTCTTCGAGTAGAAGGATGATGATGACGATAGTTGTCTTGTGTGTGTGTGCGTCAGTCACTTGAAACGCAAATGGCAACATTCTCCTACTCTTTCTTGACGTTATTGTAAGATGCGGAAATGTCTCCTTCAAAAATCACCCCTTCCATCCATCTATCCATTCCTCCCTCTTTATATCCATCCTTTTTTCGTATCTATTCTTTAGGTCGCCATATCCGAGCGGCTGCTACTGCTGCTCATGGGTGATGTCAATCATCGTTGTGCAAACAACACGAAGAAACACGTACACACTACAACGAGAGAGAGAGGACGAGAAAAAAAAGGAGGGCTGCTGTTGCTGTTGTTGTCTTTTTCAATATATCGTTGGTGCGACATACACTCGCATAAATCGAGCCATGCATGTACATCTCACACTTTTTTGTCGTTTTCTCTCTCTTATGCCGTTATATACGCGTTATCTCTACTAGTTGGTATCCATCGTCAACGGGTGATGACGAGAGAAGAGCAAGGCAACGATGTTTATAGATGCATGCTCGGGCAAACCTTGAATGATGAAAGGAGTTAGAAGAGTAATCTAATCAACTATAGTAAAAGAAAGAAAAGAAGATTACAGAAATGGATGGGACAGAGATGGCATTTTTATATCTAAAAGAAAAAGTTAACCAAATCAACACAATCGATATATAATATACATATTTGACTCAGTAATACTTCAAATATGGGAAAACTATTATTTGATTTTGTTTTATTGTTTCTATGCTATTTGATAATCTTTCATGTTCATGATAAAATTTTCAGTGGATGTATTGCAATGCAAATACCTCTGTTCATCATAAGTCATATTGATATGATAGTGCAACTATATATATATTTATATATATATGTATATACATTGATATAACTTAAAATTGTCTGCATAAATGAGATGAGAAGAGTCATGCGGTTTCTTTCACACCCACCCACTCATTCATCCATTTTATTTGGTAACAGGAGGAAAATTCTGGTTGATGATTCGGCCATCACTCATTACTCCATTATGTATTATACGCGCTGCGTTGGTCGTCAGTTCCTGTTTATAATGATAAGAACGAACGGTGATCTAGGTCGTCGTCATCATCATCATCATCATCGTTACAGCTACTGCTGAGAAGAAGGAAAATCCATTTTCTTCTTTTTTCTTCTCTCTTTCTTTTCATCTTCTTTTTCTTCTTTTAATACTCAAAGAACGGTCGTCGGTTTATCAAAAAAAAATGTTGATCGACTCGAATGTTTGTCATCTCATTTCAGAGAGAGCATGGCTTACACATATATCCATGCAGTTTGCGAAAGAAACAATCATGCAAGGGGCGCACATAAATATACATCAAGGATCGCCTATATACGCTAGTGACGAAAATCAGCGCAGTGATGTAATGGCGTGCGCATGGAAGAGAATTGTGTGAGAGACACAAACAGAAAAGAAGGGAAACAGAAAGAGAGATATGGGAATTGTACAAACGACAGCTAGTACTACCAAAAAAAGGCGCAAGATTATGCAAGTCACTCGGAGAGAACGAGAGAGAGAGAGGGAGAGAGATAGAAAGAGATCAGAAAATATCTTGTTGTTGTACTCATCACTACGCTAAAGATCGAGCGCGTTTACGCACATATAGTCGTCGCTTTTGCTTGATATTCGATACGGAAAATGTATCATCCTGGAGCGTTTCTATTCTACTAACATTATCAACAGTAGAGTGTCAGCATGAATATAACAACGACTACCATCATTATCACGTATGAATGAGAAAAAGATCGATATACAAAAAGAAACAAACAAACAAATACAAAAGGTCGTTCTACTTTGTTTTATAAATTGAACTAATCAAGCCTCTTTAAATATGTATATATTTAATACAAAGACAAGTCGATGTTCTTTATGTTATGCACTTTTATCTACAAGTACAAATACAACAAGTTCTACAATTGGTTATTCAACATCAAATAGACGATATGCTAGTCGTTGTTCGATATCTTCAATTGATCGATTAATTTCATCTTCAATTAAATTTCAACGTTTATGGCGTAAAAATGAGAATGGTATTATTAATAATCGTTCAATTTGTTTTCGATGTTGTGATACAATACGACAAATTGAACAAATTCAAAATGATATTGAACAACTTAATAATGATAAACAAATACTTATGAATAAAATAAAACATAATCTATCTAAACG